TTACAGCTTGAAGGAAATGGTGGTGAATTGTCCACTTCTGTTTTGTGCCAGAACTTGCAAACACCTTGCCAAAAAATGTGCTGATGTTGTACATTCAAAAATATTCTTTTCCCATTTTTAGGTTTGTCCCTAAATATTAGGGATGGGTATTGGAGGTTTAAAGTATATCACAATATTTTGCAATGCACAAGGCCGTATTGCGATACGTATCACGATATATTGTATAATTCTGAATGTTTAATTCAGAAGCAATCTGATACATTAAGGTATGAACTGAAGTTATTAAATGGAACAAAACAAGATGATGGAACAACATAATATTTACTCATTCAATAAATTTCGCAGCCATCTTGGGGCCCCTTTGGTGTAGGCATTTGGCAAGTGTATAACATTAAACACATGATAAAAATCCCAATTTGAAATCACCTGATATATGGAGCATGAAAAAATGATACTGTGGTATGTATCGTGGAAAGAATGAACCTCAATTTGCCGATATGCCGGTACTACTTTACATCCTTACTTAAAAAAAATATTGAAACGTAATTGCTTTGTTGCTAAGTAAGTCATATACTGTCATCATTACTCACTCGGCCACGGCTGTGTATTTTCATGAATATATGATATCGCCACTCTGCAGAATGATAATATCAGTTTACATTGTCACTTACCAGTTGTAGGAGATTTATGTAACTGATAAATTAGATTAGCTCACAGCCAGGTATGTAATAAATATTAATTAAATACAGGATGACCTTGCAGTGTTAGAAACAGACACTTTTAGTCCACTTTTCCATGTAATGATAACATATGGCGGTCGGGTAGCCTAGTGGTTAAAGCGTCCGCTCATCATGACACGCCGAAGACCCGGGTTCAATTCCTGACATGGGTACAATGTGTGAAGCCCATTTCTGGTGTCCCCCGCCGTGATATTGCTAAAAGCGGCTTAAAACCAAACTCACTTACTAAAAAAGATAAATTTCTACAGGTCCTTATGATAGCTTAACTATTGGACAGTTTGGCAAGGACAATTGGACTCGTGCCAGTTTCTAATGCCTTGATATTGAACCATCCACTCACTTACCATGCTTACCCTCTGACATAGTGAGATAACAACAGCGGGTTCACTGTGGTGTTGTCATCTGATCAGATCTATCATTACTAGTAGTGGGACGATGCATCGATGGATCGTGATATTTTACTTCTCATTACAAGTATTGATCACAGTCACACACAAAGATAAAAATATCAAATTCTTATCTTAACTGTTTGCTTTAAAAACTGTTACACCAAATACTAATTATTTGTGAAAATTAATGGTGGAACAGTAAATATTTTCACCCATTGCTCTATACAAATGCATAAATTATTATTATTATTATTACTTGACACTGCTAACTGTAAATAATCGACCCGTGAAGATCCAGGGTAGATTAGGTCTTCAGTAACCCATGCTTGCCGTAAAAGGCGACTATGCTTGTCATAAGAGGCGACTAACATGATCGGGTGGTCAGGCACACTGACTTGGTTGATGCATGTCATCGTATCCCAATTGCGTAGATCGATGCTCAAGATATCAATCACTGGATGGTCTGGTCAAGACTCAAATATTTACAGACTGCCGTCATATAGCATGTATAGTTGAAATAGTGCAGCGTTAAACAATAAATAAACAAACAAAATAAACTGTAAATAACTTGTGTGCCAGGTATTTGGCCATCCTGTCTATGAAAAAGATGGCTTACTCACCACAGATAAAAGCACATGCATGTTACAGATCGGATCATGAGCCAAGTCTCGTTGTATGTATTGGATCGCACTGCTTGTGTATCGTCCCAGCCCTAATCATTACAAGTTTACAAGTAACCAAAACATATTTTCAGTGAAATAATTTTCTGAAAAAGTGAGATCTATCTTGTGTCAGCCATCGGATACTCAGACAAGTAACAGGTTCAACTGGGATGTAACAAGCAAGTGGGTTCACACCAAACACAATAACTGAAGACCCATGAAGATGCGGGTTGATTGGTCTTCAGCAACCCATAAGAGATGACTAACGGAATCAGGTGGTCAGACTCAGTGAGTTAGTTGATGCATGTCATCGTATCCCAATTGCGATGGATGCTTGTGATGTCAATGACTAAATTGTCTGATCCACTTAGAGACTGCCCTGATAAAGCTGGAATATTGCTGACTGGCATTTAACAACAAACAAACAGACAAACAAACAATAACAGCATGATGTTTGAACAGGCTGGCCGGCTAACATGTCTTGATCTTTGCGAAACATCAAGTAGCCAATCAGAAGATTCTATGAGAAAGTAAAGATTTTTTTTTCTGATATCATATGCTTCGATCCGCAAAATGATACACATCGTAGAATCGAGGTACAACAAGTGAAGTTATTTCAATGAAGACATATTTCTAGGGCATTAAATTTGTTACCTGTAAATAATATCCAATTCCAATATTAAGTTTGATGAATTGAGTAATTTGTGTGTGTTTGATATTATAAAACATGTTTGCACACCACTATATTGACAGCAGGTTCTGATGTTGTGATAAGGGACTGGCACCGGCTGGTCTTGTCATCACAGTAGGTATGCATTAAATTATAATGGAAATTATAAACATATTTGCCTTGATCCTAAACGTCTCCTCATTCCAATGCCAATGAGGGGGCACGGGTGGCCCAGTCGTCTTAAGGCGCCGCGATTCGCTGTGCAGAGTTGCATCCCTTGGGCACGCCAGAAACCTATGATTGTTGGTTCGAATCCCGGTTCGCCCCGATTATGTTTCTCGGTTTGTCAGCACCATACCTGTGCCCGTGGGTTTCACCGAAGTGGTAAACGTCTGAGACCTGCATCACTTGGGGCTTTCCTCCCACATTAAGCTGACACGCCGCGATATAACTGGAATACTGTTTAAAGCGGCGTTAAACCCCAACTCACTCACTCACTCCAATGCCAATGTTCATTGCTTTTGGTTAGAGATCTTGTTGCTTGGGGTGTGTGCATAGGTGGTCCATTCGTCTAAGGTGCAGCAATTCTCTGTGCAGACCTGCATCCCTCAGAGGGCCAGAAACTCATCATACCAGTGGTCTTGGCTTTCACTTCAGCGGTCAACATCTAATACCTGCATGACTTTGGGTTCCTATCACTTCCCGTTGACACACTGTGATTTTACCTAATAAAACGCGCCATTGAACCAAACTCACCTTCACGAACTCATTCATGATATGCTAGTATTGTTTAGTCCTGAGGTGAATCTTATTGGAGCTTCCCTTTGTGAAATGTTTCAAAAAGTTCCAGGCAATTGTAAATTTGTGATGCATTATCAGATGACCAATTATTTGTATGTCAGTAATCAATTATTGATCTATGTTCGTGATAATAATGAAGTTAATAGTAAAATATTAACCCACATACTTTGATAGCATAGCAAACATTCCTTGAAAAATGGAACAGATATGAAACTTTAACAGTTTTAAAAGTTTAATTGTATTCAAAGTTATAAGAGCCTTGACAGTTTGTCAGTTTTACTACTTATCATAATCTGAGCCTGAAATGTTTAATATTAGAATGCCAGTTGTGTTGGCTCCAAGGAGAACCATTTTGGCTCCTGTTTTTTTCCTTGCAGGAGCCAAACTGCCCCTTTGCAAAAAATTATTCCTGACAGACAACTATCTAAAGCGAGCAGTGAACAGCTCGTTGACAAACTCTGTGCAGTGTCTCCTCATGTAGGATTCAAAATATTGCTGTAATGAGCTTGATGTCAGGTGTAGGAGGTCAGTCCGATGTAATTCTATATTATCCTGTTTTTCTGCATAAGTACCAGAAGTGGTGGATGGTTTTATGAGGAGTGAAGCGATACACTGAAACTGATACACAGTGATATTATATATGTGGCCTTTGCTATTGTACACAATACACACAGACCTGTATTGAGATACATGACGCACAGCATACATATTTTGGGGGACAGTTTTGAGAGGATTTTGGACATCAAGATTGAGTGACTATCATGTAAGTGGCTTCAATTTTAAACACTTTTCAGTTCCTGGCCATCATGTTATTCTGACCTATTGAAATGTATCTTTTTATGATCAATGAGAAACATTGTTGCACCCCTAGTTTTGTTAAAACATACATAGTTTTTTCAACAGCTTTGCATGCAATATGTCATTTACCAAATATACACCAAACCATCTGGTCCTAGCTGTTTATGTAGAAATATGTTTCATTAAATGTATGGGATGAAGACACGGAGTTAATAAAAAATTAATATTTAATTAACCGAAAGCACTTGATGTCAAGATGGAAAATTGCAAGGTTACAGTTACTCATGAACGGATCAATATTTCTTCTGTTTCTACCTCTAAAAGCTGCAAATAGCTTCTCGATCACTCACTTACCCACCCACCCATATCATGGCATGACAGTTTATCGGTCACTGTGAAGAATATGTAAAAAAATAAAATATTTCTTTTAAAATCAGCAACCGTATTCGACGTAATAAGCGCCCAGGGAAATCTCAAAATTAGAAATAGGGGGCTCTTTTTAGAATGTTATTTTGGTGGAAAAAAACAGAGTTGAAACTTGAAAGATGAATTTCGTGGTTTATGCTGACAGCCTGAAATGTTTATGTACGACAGATATATTTTTCCACAATTAAATGCCCATAAATTAATTTAGGGTGCGTAAAACACACAAGTGCATATTGTACGCGAATAAATAAGTCTTGTGTACATTGATCACTCGGAAGGGGTGCTGATTGGGATTGTTCAATAGCCAATATCTTAGCAAATGTCGCCCTGGGTGCTTATTAGAGCGGGGCGCTTATTACGTCGAATACGGTATTTCTTTTTGGGTCCAAATGTTTCTTGCCCCAAGATGTTGATCAGTACAACTTGGTAGACCATTTGATGTGCAGATGATCAGTATGATCCAAGCAATATTGTTGCGGAAGCGTTTGATGATGTGTATGTTTTGCCTTCACAGATAGCACTGCTTCAGCCAGCCTCAGCAACATGGCCAACACCAGGCTCCTCCTCACCAAGATGATGCTGAATGATGGGGGAGAGGAAGAGTTGGTGAGTTGTCTCCCCAGCTATTGTTATACTCACAATCTCATTAAATCAGATATTTTACTCCAATGCAGTACCTCCATCCTGATCCGACAAACCTTAAGATGATCAAAGGAACTTTCACGATAGTATATTCACCGACAAAAGAAACATGAATACCATACATGTTGGTGAATATATGAAGAATTACTCATATTCAAGAGATATTAGATTGGTTCGACGTACAAACGAACATACTGGTGTGTTGTGTGAACAGATGCTCATAAACGCAACACATGTGACATCATAGATCCATGACTCGATATGCACCATTTGTGTCGTGCAGGATTAGCGTGTAAAGTTTGGAAATCACATGCAGGATATTATCGTGAGTGAGCAGCTCCCAATTGGAAACGCGTCCACCCAGAGAGCGGAAGGTCCGGGGTTCGATCCCCGGCCGCGTCATACCAAAAGACGTTAAAAGATGGTACTTGTTGTTACCCTGTCTGGCGCTCGGCATTAAGGGGCTAAAACAAGGACTGGTCGGCACAGAGTCAGTATACTGTGTCTGAGTGGGATATTCATGTTAAACTGCGGCATGGTATCTCAGTGAGCTAGCACTATAAATTGGCATCAGTCCGGACTAATACAAGCAGCCACACAAACACACACACGTACATGCACGTCGCTATATAAGTGCAATAATCTTGGACACGACGTTAAACCCCATTTCACCTAACCTCACCCAATTGGAAACTAATAAACATGATAAAGGCCTAATCATATACGCACACACATACGCACATACGCACACACAGTATTCTGTTTTCTTTTGATGAGATCATAATTTCTGAACTGAGTAGCTTTTTTCTCTTTCTGACATGCAGTTGGACTTGGACGATATGAAAATGAATAATCTTTTAATTATGTTACTGTAGCTGACAATGTAAAATGTGTACCACCTAATGTTTTATTATTTAGCATGTTAATGCATACCTTCTCAATGACAAATGAAATCTGAGTGCCCTTCATCTGTTCAGACCCAAATAGACCCATTCATTTGCTTCAGCTTTTCCCCTATTGTAAGGAGGGGGCACGGGCGGCCCAGTCGTCTAAGGCACCGCGATTTGCTGTGCAGAGTTGCGTCCCTTGGGCACGCTAGAAACCTATGATTGTGGGTTCGAATCCCAGTTCGCCCCGATTATGGTGACATTCAGAATAAACATTAGCTGTGCAGAGTTGCGTCCCTTGGACATGCCAGAAACCTATAATAATGGGTAAATTTCCGGTTCGCCTGAATATGTTGCTTGGTTTGTCAGTACCATACCCGTGCTTGTGGGTTTCACCAAAGTGGTAAACGTCTGAGACCTGCATCACTTCGGGCTTTCCTCCCACATTAAGCTGACACGCCGTGATATGACTGGAATACTGTTAAAAGCGGCGTTAAACTCAACACACTCACTCACTCACACCTATTGTAAGGAACAATCTTTTAATCGTGATTATAGAGACTGAAAATCACTAACGAAAAACCAATTTATTAACAATAAATAACAATGGAGAAGTTACTGTAAAAGTAAGCAAATATGCAAGAAAGTCCCGAAAGAAATCAACATATTTCATGCCGCTGGTGAGCAGTGACACGTTTATGCATAAATTACTTTTGTGGATGTTTGATATTTTAAAAAACAGATGCCTTCCGTAAATCTTAACTTTATTTCATCACACTAGTTTTTGTTAGTTATTATCGATGACAACAATTTCATATCGATAATCATTAATATTTCTTCCCATCGACGATAATTCTGATTATCGATCTTTTTAGCCAGCCCGAGGTAATACTGTGCAGTGTGTGCAGTCATTCACATGAATCCCTTGCTTCATAAGCATAAGTATTGACAACAATGTAAAGATCTGCTAGTCATGCAAGTGGAAAGTATGAAATTGTCAGTTTCCTTGTCATGCTCAGACTGTTCATTTTTTTCATATTTATTTGCATAATGTTTGCAATATATATACTACTCAAAAGAAATTAAGCACAGATTTTAGGAGCGATTCTTTTATTTTACTATCGTTAATTTGTCATGACATGACAGTTTATTGGTCACTGAAAAATATGTAAAAAAATTAATATATTTCTTTTAAAATCAATTGTTTTGGTGCCCTGTTGATGGACATGCTGGATTAAATTACATTTGTCAAAACTGATCCAATGTCTATCACTTCTGGAACTCAACGTGATGAAAACTAAAACCACATGGAATGATCGTCCCACCAACCTGTCACAATCATTGCTCTGTACGTGATAAATGTGTATTGATCAGGAATGTGTGTAGGCTTGTCAATACATTACCAACAGCTTTGAATATCAATAACCAAGCCTGCACTGTGTAGGATGTGTGTGCACAGGTATTCCCTTGCATCTATCCCAGCTGTTGGCCATGTTCATATAGTTTATCTTTCTTCTGTATCATGACCACTGTCACTGAAATTGCTGAATCTATGATTCTTGTTTTAAGGACAATATGGTTGACATGTTCCTTGCAGCCATTTTGAAGAAGCTGTTGTCATGGTTTATGGCCTTTTTTCTTCCAAATGTCTTAAATTTAGCGGTGGGGCTCAGCACACATGATGTGTTTTTCGTGATATTTCTTTCTTTAATATTTGTTTAAATTTTGAACTTTATTTCTCAAAATGCATTTCCTCACGCTGTACACATCATCCCCTCAGAAATTACCAGACAAATGGCATGAATGTTTCTCCTCATGATGACATCATATTTTGTTCAAGTTATTGGATTTTCCTGTCAGTTTTACGTCAGAAATTTATGAGAATGTTTTTTTGATATCAATACTGACAACAGCTTTTGTTAGTGGCTGCCTTTGTTGACATTTTAAGCTGTAGACTACATATCTAGCTGTGCTGAAGTGCCATGACATTACTGGATTTTCTTATAAACTTTTGGGGGCACGGGTGGCCTGGTCGTCTAAGGTGCTGCGATTCGCTGTGCAGAGTTGCGTCCCTTGGCCACGCCAGAAACCTATGATTGTGGGTTTGAATCCTGGTTCGCCCCGATTATGTTTCTAGGTTTGTCAGCACCATACCCGTGCTCGTTGGTTTCACTGAAGTGGTAAACGTCTGAGACCTGCATCACTTCGGGCTTTCTTTCACATTAAGCTGACACGCTGTGATATGACTGGAATATTGTTAAAAGGCACGTTAAACCCAACTCACTCACTCACTCACTCAGCTGTACACAACAAACTAGTGGCACTAGGTCACATGACTGCAGAAAGTCAATTCACAAAGATTAGGTTTGTAAAAGAAGCAATATTTTGATTTCTTTTATTCTAAAATAACATATGTGAGTATGACCACTAACTACTATTGATTACTGATGTACATCACTAACAAAACATTTTGGATGATGAAATTAGTATGCTTTTGAATGATTGAAATCTCCAAGTAAAAGAATCGAAAGTATTGTCATGATTGCTATAGTTACCATGGTTACTGCTTTGATCTTTCCCATGTCATTCCAAAATGATGATGGAATCACTTGTGCATTGTATAATTAGATCGTATCCGATTATTTCAATGCCTTTATCAGCATTTACATGATTAATGATTTGAAGCAAAAAGAATTTATCAGTTGGTATGATTGTGTTGAAGCAAACGAGAACGGATAGTAAGCTGGGTAACAAAGACATGGTTCGAAACAAACCATATCTTTTTTAACTGATCATGCATTACTCCTTAATGCATTTACTGCTTACTTTTGACAGAAATGAAGCTGTGATGGGTCCAGTTGATGAGAAAATAGTTGTTCCAACCAGAAAAGCTGGGCCCCAATCAACAGAAGTGGAGACATCATGGAATCTTCATATCACATGTACCAATAAATTGGTCTCCAGCTATTTGGTGTTTTTTGCTGTAACCTGTGGTCTGCGTATTTGCATCCAACAAAAGTCTCTTCCTTCCTGCGATGGGTGGTCTCTTGGTTTACATTGTTTACATGCAATGATATTTATGTTTATTATTTTCATGTGTTGGATTTTGAATTTTCCTTTCATGTCCCGTGTTTTCGAGACACACGTTCTGTATTTCAGTGCCGGCTCGGTATTAGCATTGCAAATAAAAAACTTAAGCTAACAATTGGCATTTATAGTGTAATACACTTCTTATCATGCAATATATGTCCATTATTCTGAATTAAAGTTTGTTTGTTCACTATAATTAGGAATTGTACTCATTGAAACTTCAAAATTTTTTTTTAAATTTATGCTTGTTTGTTGCACTCAAAGTCGCTGTCTCTTCAGCGCTTGCCTCATCTTCTGGGGCCATGGATCAGGACCGTACCGAGATCAATGCCAACAGGATTGATCATTTCCAGATGGTTGTGGATTTTCAACAGAGGCAGACTGACTACTTGTGCGATCACCTGAAGGCGGCTCTCACTGAGATCACCGCCGCCCGCTGTCTGGGGAATCGGAATTTAAGCAACAGCTTCTTTGTCAGCCCTGGTCATCTACAATGCTGTTTAATGGCCAGATTGCTGACGCTCACACCAGCTCTCTTCTCGCTCTAATTTTGATCGCGCCTTGGTGGCAGGCAAGAGGCAGAAAGCGATCCACTTCTTCTATCAGGGTTGCCAAACCTACTCGTGCACCCACACAGCAGGCGACCACACCCAACATGTTTCATCTGCACACTAGGTTCATCTCAAAAGAGCCCTAGGTGTGAAAAGGTATTCGGCGTGAGCGGCTAAGGGCATTGTCATGGCACATAGACCCTCGACCTGAGGCCTGCATTATGATAAGTGGTCATTCTTTGAGACGTTTGGTAAGGAAAAGACTCAGGACCCCACAGCAGTGTCATGTCTTCACGCAACATCCTTTCATGACCTCACCAAGAGGAGAGTATTTCTCTTGGTACTGGCCACAGTGCCAAGGGTTAGTGAGCTTCATGCGCTGGACATTAGCCGTGTAGCATTGAATGTGTTATGCACAGAGTGCCTCACATCAGGC